ACCTAGACACAGGAGAACTATTGTCGTGAAAGTGTTGTACAGTCGATTACGAATTTAGATTGCAGAGAGTTTGTTCTGAGCGCTAAAGGCACTCACGATAGAGCACATTTTGCTTTATTCTAACACTGATCATCTGAGACCATTAAAGAAAGCTGACTACTCACAGTTCTATGAATTCACTAAGGATGAACTCCCAAGTGACATGCCTACACCTCTTGGCAAAGCGGTAGAGTTTACTATGTTTGTTGATGCATCTCATGCTTCTAATGTTGTTACTCGTCAATCAAGAACAGGAGTATTGATCTTTGTTAACAAAGCCCCTATTATATGGTATTCGAAAAAGCAAAACAGTGTTAAGACAAGCAGTTTTGGTTCTGAATTTGCTGCTCTAAAGACAGGTGTTGAATTGCTTGAGGGACTACGATTCAAGCTCAGAATAATGGGCGTCCCAATCCAAGGTTATTGTCATACTTGTGTTGACAATATGTCCGTTGTCAAGAACTCAAGTGTTCCTGAATTGAAGTAGAAATCGAACGCTGTCGCATATCACTACGTTTGCTCCAGATGCGCGATTGATATCCTACAAATTGAATGGGAGAAGTGGAGGCCGTGGCCGAGGGAATGGCGCCTCAAACCGCCTGCAATCAAATGTTCCAGATCGCTTTAGCCGCAATGGTATACTACTAAATGATGGAGATTATTCAAAATATCTTCATACACTACAGTGCTGTCTGTTTGAAGATTCGGTTGCGAAGAGACTTCTATGCGGTTGCCCTTCTTTTTCTGAAACAATTTGGATCTTGCAAACAGAAACCGAGATAGAGATTTCTTCTTTCCGGCCTTTTGACTAAATGATCTAAGGACAGCCCCACCTGTATTCCCATTTCGAGCATCGGTATCGCCGATTGGCTCCACTGGAGGAACTGATGGTATCTGTTCCTTCGACTTCAGATGCTGTGGATTTCCAGAGGAACTAGACTCTTCAGTGCTCGCATTTTTATTTCTATTCCGCTGACGATCAGGGCCGATGTTTTGACCAAGATTCCACCTGGAACTGTTTGTGACCGTCTTATGGAACATATCATGTGGAAAGCAAGGCATAATGGAAAACTTGCTCTTTTGATTTAATTTTTGGAAACGTCTTCATCCGTCGCCAGATATTGTCAGTCTTGGACAGTATTGGATGATACGTCCTCCCAAGAGGGGGTACGGTTGATATTAGCCCAATTCGGAGTACAAGGTTCTCTGATACATCAGTATCACCTT